CGTCTCGACGTCGACGTGCTAGTGGGGAGGTGGCCACTCGCTTGGGGTGGCCACCCGCTTATGAACTACGTTAATCATTTTCCGAGCATAGGTGCCGAAATAGATTAGGAAGACCAAGCCGTGGCTGCCACCGTGACTTCTCACACCGCACACTCAAATCGATTAACTACGTATATAAGAGTAAGAGTGCCACATATCTACGTAGGTGTAGCGTTAATTCCTCGCAAATATATGCTGGAAGAATATGGGGGTTGTTTCTAAGGCTTTGCAGTCATGAGAATAATGATAAAGCTTGAATTCGGACAGGATGCTTAGCCAACGAGTTGTGAGTTCTCAAACTTATAGTCAAACAAGCGAATATAGTTTGGGGTTGTAATTGCTCTGCTACAGTTACTCAGCCAACCTCACTATACTGTGTACACAGCTCTAATAAGTTGAGGTGTAATGGCTGGGCCGGCCAATGAGCGGCTTGTATGGTCCGAGCAATCAGCCCAAACTCAATCTGGCTTCAACACCACGATTGCATCTTCAATCGCGGGTCCATTGCTACAGCGTACCTCTACACACCGCAATCATGGACCCCTATTCCCCCGAAGGAGGTGGGTATTATCTTGCTCCTCATACCATATCACCGTATAACCCCACTAACGCATCCCAGAGCTCATCAACATCCACTCGGCCTTCCACGCCGGGGCCTACCAACAAGTTCTCGACTTCGACACCTCGTCCTTTTCGGCCTCCAATGCGCTTCCCGTCCGTGTCCTAAAACTTCGCAGCCAAATTGCTCTCGGCCAGGCAGAATCCGTTTCCAGCGAACTCGCATCCGAGAAGACACCCGATCTCGTCGCGGTGAAGTTGCTGGCAGACTACGAGCAAGGCAAAGATGTTCTTAGCCAGGCAAAGAAGTTGGCGGAGCAGAGTGGACAGGAGAATCTGGCTGTGCAACTTTGTGTGGGCATAATCCTGGAGAGGGCAGGAGAGACGGAGGCTGCGCTGGAACTCTTGAGCAAGCACCAAGGCAGCTTGGATGCGTACGGCAGCCCGAACACGCCAAATCTGGCATGAAATCGAAGCACAATGGCTGATGTCTGAATAGGGTAGCGCTCATTGTCCAAATCCACCTCCAACAGAACCGCACCGACCTTGCTGCCAAGGAAGCACAGCGTGCACGGAAATGGGCGCAGGATAGCCTGCTGGTCAACATTGCTGAGAGCTGGGTTGGCATGCGCGAGGTTCGTAACTCACTTGTTCCCACCCCCACTACGTAACCAATGGATGTTGGACAAGACACTAATGTTAGGTTAGGGCGGCGAGAAATACCAGTCGGCGTTCTACGTCTTCGAAGAACTAGCTACAACCGCGCAATCGACCTCTCCTCACTCTCTCGTTGCGCAAGCAGTGTCAGAACTACATCTCGGCCGCCTACCCGAAGCCGAAGCTGCTTTACAACAAGCCATCTCCATTGACGGTACCTCTGCCGACACAATCGCCAACCTCATTGTCCTCAACACACTGCTAGGCAAGAAGGATGAAACAGAAAAGATGAAGACACAACTTCAATCCGTAGCCCCACAACACCGAGCGATAGCAGACTGGGCTAGTAAGAAGGATGAGTTTGCCAAGGCGGCGGCCAAGTACACTCCGCAGTTTGAACCTGTTTCGTAGAAGCGGGATGGAGGAGTAGAAACGAGAGCGATAGCTTACGATTGATTGATGAACAACCTGTAGGGAGATATCCAATAGATGATAAGCTGCCAATGTAAACTAGTAAACATTGGGCGGGTTACTACGAATGAAGAATCTGTCTAGTGTATGGATAGGTATGTATGTTGGGTGCAGGGTTTTGAGCCGATGACATACATTTTCAGCGGAGGTTCCTGTGGCGTAGACCTCGTGCCTTCTACAACTCAACATTACCTCATCTTTGACACACCGACTCTACACCTACAAGCATGCTACCTCATATGGCAAAGCATTCGGAGATGCATTTCTCTCATCACCTTTCTTTTTCCAAAGTTTTCCCCATCCCCATTCTCCGCCCTCGCCGGCAATCTGTCTTTCCGGACGCCACAAAGCACACAGCCCGCATGTTACCGCATCCGAACCAGAGACCCTAGGCGCCACCTTCCCGTTGGACAAGCACAAGCTTCACATACTGGTGTGAGAATGCACAGCTTCCAAGTTGGAGCGGTCGGCTGGCGTAACGCCAGATGACATCCGTCTTTGCTGTCATTTGGAGGGGGCGGGCGGCGGCTGCAGCGGTGCTTCTTCACGGGAAAGATGGAAGAGTGGGTAAAGTGCGTGTGTGGGTGTTTGAGGACAGGGCGTCCAAGCGCACTAGCATACATCTGATCGACGCGCCACACGGGTTTAAGCGATAGATCGTATCCAGCCCACCGGATTCTGTGAGCTGTGGAAGGGGGAGGGTGGATTTTTGCACGTGGGAAGGAAGGGGGGAGAGGGTCCATGTGGTTGCAGCTGAGACTGGACGCAGAAGCTCTTCTGCTACCAGCCCGTACAACGCGAGAAACGGGAATTTTCCTCACAACAATCTCGATTGCTTGCAACTCAGGAGAAGAGGAAATTCGTATCTCGGGGATGATAAAATGACTCAGGGCATCGTGCATGTCGCAGCATCTGACACGTCTCGTGCCGCGACGGCGTGCGACTCCTGCAACGACAACTGTTGTGCCGCAGCCCGGGACCTGATACATCCGAGCGCCAACTTACCCCATTCTACCGCAACGATCAATCTTTGGAAACCAGCGCTAGCCTCGGGGCCTTATCCAACCAATCCATACCTGTTGCGGTTGGATGGGGGCTGTGGTCTTAACACGCTTTGGGAACACGTCCCGGGGAGAAGGAGCGTTTGGAAAGAAAAGAGAGAAAGTGACCCGCATGGCTGGGTGTGGGCTTTTTTAGGAGGAGGGCTTTTTCTTAGTAGCGTACTTGCTTGCCCGGCGGTATGGCTGCCAAGGAATCTCTTGTTTTTTCCTTCTCCTCTCTTTCTTTCTTTCTAACGTTGCTCACGCCGTCGGACTGGAATGGGAAGTTTTGTCTAAAATTTTTTTTGGGAACATAGGTTGCTTTGCTATTCTACGCAGACGCAACTACTACATCCAGTTTATATCTCACCATAGGTGCCATCACTTTTGTTGCCTTAACGCCGAAATCTCCGCTTCGCGCGCTTGCGGAACCGTCAGGCTATTGGATAGGCTAAGGGAGCGACTTCGTCATGTCTGGGGAAGAGGCCGACGTCGGCAACTCGCTCGACGTACCATCATCATCACATCCTGACAACATGGTCATCGGAGTACCACCAGTATTTGAGGGGCTCACAAGAGAGCTGGGCAAGATTGTCGAGCAGCCACTACTTGGTCCCAAGGCCAAGTTTCCCCCAGGTAAGAGGCCTCTCTGTAGCCATAGCGCTTGAGACATGTAGTAACCATCTATCTAGCTACTTTTGGTTTTGCACGCAAGGATGTATCTGGAAGGCGAAAGCCACAAGCCATAGCACATCGAGGATACAAGGCCAAGTTCGCCGAGAATACTTTAGGCGCCTTCAAGGGTGCAGTTGAAGTCGGAGCCGATGGCCTAGAAACCGATTTACACTTGACCAGAGATGGTGTCGTTGTATTATCCCATGTAAGTTTTCGGATCTAGTCATATTTGATCATGGACTGATACTCGACAGGACAAAGATCTCAAGAGATGCTTTGGTAGGGATGAAAAGATCATAGACTGTGACTATGAGTTTATAAGTAAACTGAGGACATTGAAAGAGCCACACGAGCCAATGCCTCGCCTTTCAGATCTACTCGAGTATATGGCACAACCCGGGTTGGAGAACATCTGGGTATTACTCGACATTAAGGTTTGTAGTCGGTGCTACTTTGCATAGCCGAGAGCTGACGCAAGACAGTTGGACAATGATGCAGACGATGTAATGCGGCTGATTGGTGATACAATCGGGAGCGTGCCACCCTTGCCATCACGACCATGGCAGAGCCGCATCGTTCTTGGGTGCTGGGCAGCAAAGTACCTTCCGCTGTGTTCACGATATCTGCCCGGCTTCCCAGTCTCCCATATTGGCTTCTCAACGCTTGTTGCATCGCATTTCTTCGCAGTCCCGAATGTCTCTTTCAACATGGCACACGCTGTTATGATGCCGTGGGACAGGCTGTTCATACGCAAAGCACAAAGTGACGGCCGACCGGTGTATGCATGGACAGTGAACAAGGAGTGCCATATGCGATGGGACATCCGGCATGGGCTGGATGGTGTGGTGACAGACGATCCGAAGTTGTTTGTGCAAGTCCGGGATTCATGGCACGAGGGTGTGAAAGACGGCGTGTCGGTAACGGCATGGTTAGATGTGCTGCGGGTTAATTTCTTTTGTCTGATCTATACCTTTTTGTTCCAGTTGAAGTTTGGATTTCAAGACAAGTCGCTGGTCAAGATGAAGGAGGAAGAAGAGCAATGAAGGTGATAGTCGGCATGTAAGAATAAAAATATGCTGTAGTTATTATTAATGTGATTTCTTGTAGTTCTGTGGTCGCAGTGGTGATAAGTGAAGCGAGTGATACGCTCCATGTACTTTGGAGCCATGACGGCAGGGTCCAAACATTTAGCGACCCGACGCGTGGACCCCGCCGAGGGCGCGTTTGCAAGCTACGACACTGTTGACCAACACAACCATGCCCAGGTACGACCGCAGACGCATCAGAAGAAACTGCGCAAGCTGTGGCTGACTTAGACTAGAGAAATCATAACATTACAGGCTGGCCAGTGCGGCAACAGCGTCGGGCAGCAGTTCTGGCAGCAGCTCTGTCAGGAACACGGCATCAACAAAGACGGAAACCTCGAGGATTTTGCGACAGAGGGCGGCGACCGCAAAGATGTCTTCTTCTACCAATCAGACGATACGCGTTATATTCCACGCGCCATCTTGCTAGATCTTGAGCCCAGAGTGCTGCATTCCATCCAGGCGAGTCCGTACAAGAACATCTACAACCCCGAGAACTTTTATATCCACAAAGATGGCACTGGCGCGGGTAACAACTGGGGCATGGGATACAGCATGGGCGAGCAGGTACATGAGGATATTTTGGATATGATTGATCGCGAGGCCGACGGCTCAGACTCGCTCGAGGGCTTCATGATGCTGCACTCAATCGCTGGTGGAACTGGCTCTGGTCTCGGATCATACATGCTCGAACGGCTGAATGATCGGTTCCCCAAGAAGCTCATACAAACGTACAGTGTCTTTCCAAACACCCAAGATGGTGATATTGTGGTTCAGCCGTACAACAGTTTGTTGAGTATGAGGCGCCTGACGCAGAATGCAGACTCGGTGGTAAGTGCAGATTGAGCAGCTAGCAACTACGGCGCACCAGTATGCTAACTGCACAGGTTGTGCTCGATAATGGAGCCCTCACTAGGATCGCTGCCGACCGGTTACACGTCATGAACCCTTCGTTTGAACAGACAAATCAGCTCGTGTCCACCGTCATGTCTGCCAGTACGACGACCCTTCGCTACCCTGGATACATGCACAACGACCTGGTCGGTATTGTCGCATCGCTCATCCCCACCCCACGCTGCCACTTTTTGATGACGTCTTACACACCCTTCTCGGGCGAGAACGTAGAGCAGGCGAAGACCGTTCGTAAGACGACTGTCTTGGACGTCATGAGGCGCCTGCTACAACCCAAGAACCGCATGGTCTCAACCAACCCCACCAAGAAGAGCTGCTACATGTCCATCCTGAATATTATTCAAGGAGAAGCCGACCCCTCAGATGTACGTTGTGGATATCTTGCAGAACGAAAATCTCACTAATAGTAAAAAAAGGTACACAAATCCCTTATGCGCATTCGCGAACGCCGCCTCGCAACATTTATCCCATGGGGCCCAGCATCAATCCAAGTCGCACTAACCAAAAAATCTCCTTACGTAACGTCTTCCCACCGTGTCTCGGGCCTCATGCTGGCAAACCACACGGGCATCGCAACACTGTTCAAGCGCATAGTAGCTCAGTACTCCACCCTCCGCAAACGCAACGCCTTCCTCGAAAGCTACAAGCGCGAAGTACCCTTTAAAGATGGTCTGGGCGAATTCGACGAAGCAAAAGAAGTGGTACAGGGCCTCATTGCAGAGTACGAAGAGGCAGAGGATGCGGATTACCTGACCAAGGAGACTGCGCCGACGGACGAGGCAGAGGATAAGAGAGCGGGCTAGCAGTTGGGCTTGAGAGACGTGGCGGGAATCTAGGGCGTCGGCGTCTTTTTTTGGGAGGGGGCGGGCACATATATGTACTGTATAGTTGGAATCTTTCTTTCTTTCTTTCTTCGGTTTAACCCCCTTTCTTGCTTGGAAGGAGGGGGGAGTTTGCAACGGCAGCGGGCGTTGGCGGGAAAATGCAAATCAAAGGGGAGGGGGATTGGAATCGATTCCCATCCTCCATACATACAAACACCTTTTTTTCTTTCTTACAAGGCAGCATTTTCTCGGAGTGTCAAAATGTTTGTTATTTTTCGTTTACGGAATTGATATGCAAGAGAGCACATGTTCTTTTTTTTCTTCTTCTTCTGGTGTGCATTGTACATGAGTTGCTTTACTACCCTTGCTTCCAGGGCATCCTTTCCACACCCCTCACCCACCTC